GCCTACCCGTACCGGCCTTCATAGGTGTTCGCTCGCAGCACTTGCCCCAAAAGTCTGGTTTTTTATTGCAACAAAACGCGAGCCTGCACATTACGCAGATTGACTTTTGAGAAGGGGGGGGGAACAGAAAATCCGCAAAAAATCGAATTCGGCATGACGGGAGATTAGCCCCAAAAAGTATATTAAAGCTATCGGGGAGCTCTTTGTCTCTGTGTAATATACAACACCAAGCTTGTCTTGGCTTTATTAAGGCTTGACATTTGCATCGCATTCAAACGCACAGCTGCAAATTACAAATGCTGTTAAAACAAGTTGGGAGGGGATATATTCATGAAATGTCACGCTTGCTGAACACAGTGTTTTAAAGTGATAGTGTGTGGACACTGAAACACAACAGATACTGGCAAATGCTTACAGCTGCGGGAACTGCCATCGGACCCTTAAGCCAAACGCTGTATGTATGTTGAACTTCTTTTGCACCGTACATAGCCAACCATGCTAAACGAATGTGCGAATGCTGTAATACGAGTCCCCTGTCCTGATAGCTCTCGAGTCTTATACCCCTTGTGCACACGTGATTGAGCAGCAGCGCGTGTTGTCGGTTGCCCACATTATCATCATCATCACACCCTTGCCTTGCTCCCGCACTAAAACGGCAACGACAAACCTACGTTTGGAACGCGTCCCACAATCGTAGCAAACGTTTCGGAGCGCAGAATTACCCCAGGAAGAACCAAAGGGAACGGAAGGACTGAGCGAGGGAAATGTAGCAATTAAAAGGGTCCAAAGGCGCTGGGATATGAAGCGGAAGGATTGAGAGGAGACTTTAAACAGAAAAAGAAACTATGAAACATTTCTTTTTATTTTACCAGGTAAGGCCCACTGAGCTATGTAGCTCTTTTTCAGAAGCGACCTGGCCACAAGAGATAGCTCAACGAAACGGCTTGTCAAGTGGACATTCATGGCAGCCAAATAATCTAAATGCATTTGTCTACATGTGGAGGGGAAAAACCAGAGGACCCGGAGAAAAATCCATGCGACCACGGGGAGAGCACGCAAACTCCGAATATACAACAGGCGTCAGAGGTTGGGTGGGAGCCCACGACCTGTATACCAAGCGAGGTAGTTAACATCTCACCACTGTGTCGCCAAAAGAAAGAGGACCAGGCAGAGTTTCTTTTCTTTTTTAAGGATATAAGTGACTGGTTCCATTAGCTGCTACGTTCACACGTGACAAAGATTCGCTGTCGCAATGTTGCAGTATAAGGCGGTATGTTGAGATGCCTTACACAGCAGTTGACGTTAAGATACGTCTCAATTGACAATCTAATATTGTCTCCTTGCAACAATTTGATCTGTATCGAAAATGCATTCAGCGCTGTTTTTTTTCCCCCGCACACCACTAAAACTGCCACAAAGTTTATCGCTAACACATCAGGATTCCAGCATGAGGTTTGCTTCGGGGGAACGATGACACACACATGCGTTCAAATGCCTAGTAATGTACAAGATGTTACCCGCATTGATCGTCACAATAGCGTGAAGTGGGTGATGAGTTAAAATGTGGTGAACAGCGAGCAAAATCTGTTCTGGATAATAATACACAAGAGGCCTGCTTAGAAAGGTGAAACCGGTCCATGACGCACACACAAGTGCTGAACCTGGAAACGAGAATGTGTCCTCATACCAATTCGGCATATTGCTCTTGCGTAGGCATTGCTGTTAATGGAGTAAGTACGTGTGTACGTTGGACTTCTTTCGCACTGTACGTAGCCAACGTTTCTAATTAATTGGTTGGTTACGTACGTGTGTACGTTGGACTTCTTTCGCACCGTACGTAGCCAACGTTTCTAATTAATTGGTTGGCTACGTGCGGCTGGATGGCACAATGGCTGGGTGTGCGGCTGGTTGATTCATTTTTTTAAATCCTTTATATTAAGTTCGCTTGCTTGCTTGCTTGCGTGCTTGCGTACTTGCTTGCTTACGACCGTGCAAATCTTTCGGTCGTTTTTTAACCCACTTCCCGTGATACAATCGAGCTGACATTTTCACACAGACTCGTTGTGCGTGACAATTAATTTTCGTGACATTTTTTTTCCAAAATTTTACACTGTTTAGGGAATTTTTTAAAAATATTTAATTACCAATTGCTTAATGCTGGCAGACAATCATCTGACCCATAGGTGGCAGCCATCTCAAGCCAGAGGACGAGAGGACTCTAGCTGCCACGCAAATAAAGGATTTATAGTGAAAAACTTTGTTTTTACGGGTTAATTTTTTAGTGACCTGCTTAGCTTGCTTATTTTGCACTCCTATCGTTGTTTTATTCTTTACTGTTGGAACTTGCTGACTCGCCCCAACTGGACATCTGTGAAGAAAAGAGCCTCATAGCTCATCGGATTCCTCCAGTCCATATATAGATTCTGATAAAAGATACGAAGGTTGTGATTTAAAATCCCAGCCGAGGGTTGACTCGACTCATCATCCCTTCAAGGCTAATAAAATTGGAACAGCTTTGAGATTGTCCTATGGGAAGACTGGCCCGTGGTCTCAGAGCTCTACACAGGAGATGAGCACTGCCCCATGCTCGATTGAGTGGGAAACCCAATGTTTGATTGACGCATGCCATTATGGATTGGTTTGTGTATCATGAAAGGCCCTCCATTAGAAATGTGTCTGGTGAGACAGTATTTATGATGACCAGCACTCACTTAACCCTTTCAAAGCATAGGGAAAATCGTACGTAATCGATAGATATTGAATTAAAAACGGATGTTTGTCAAATCTGCACTTTCTCGTTGCACAGTTTTAAAGGGCATCGCCGGTCTGGAGCTGAATCGATTGCGAGCTGTAACGTAGCATTATCTAAGCACATTGCTGCTTGCAAGTCAGCTGGTGAAAATCTGCACATAACGAGACGAGTAAGAATAGGCTCGCCGGAGGAATACTAATGTGCCTCCGCTTCTCTGTTGTAGCCGTTGAAATGTGCACGCTCACCAAAAGTATTCCCCATTTATGTATGTATATGTAAAACAAATCTTATTCCAAAGGGCATTTTCTTTCAAGCTTTGTTTCCCTCGGGTAGCCTTTAACATGCATCCTGAATGCAGCTGAGCAGAACATTTAAATCATTAACGTGACAAATTTACAGAGGCACGCCATTATGTGCCAGCGCAGCGGTTAAATGAGCTGCCCACAATGACAAAAACGGTATTCCTTCAATCATCAAGTATACGCGCGGCGTCTGCCCAGCGCAGCAGTATACACGGGTACACCGCCGTCGATCGGCAGGTTGCGTGCAGTCGAATCAAGTGTGGGTATGATAATTGGTTTTTTACCCTTCTATCTGGCAACAAAACTGACACCTTTTTACAAGGAGTCTGATGGTGCATTGTCTTTGAGTTGTGCGCCTTTTGGCGTCATCTGGTCCAACCCATGTGAGACTAGGCTCTAAGGAAAGCTGTCTCGAGTGTGGACCAATCAACTTCAAGGACAGTGCACATTATCAGAGTTGTGTCTTTTCTTTGTATTATGACTGCAGGTATTGCGGTCTATGCAAACATGACTCCTTGTAAAAAGGTGTCAGTTTTGTTGCCAGATAAAAGGGTGAAAAACCAATTATCATATTTTTACTGCCAAATGAAGTTCTCCTAGTGTAAAGTGTGGGTACTCTCCCACCTCTATGCAAGCGTCTGACCAGCATGCAAGAGTCGGCCATATATCCTCTTGAGCTCGCTCTCGTGGAGGCACTTCTGCTAGCAGTAGCGTGAACAAGTCATTGCAGGGTTGCGCCTTTACCTTAAACTTGCAGCAAGGCTCGTGGAGAAAAAGGATTTGACAAAAGTAAATGGGTTCGTTGACAGTTCACGTTGTATCTCAGGATCATATGAGAGGTGGAAGCGACCTTGAGGAGGCCTTCATCCAGCAGAGGATTGAACATGGATGTTGATGATGATGCTGGTTTACTGAACGTCTGACAGAACGTGTCAGTCCATGGGCCGCTTCTATCCAAAGGGATGTATTTGTTGTGCAATAGTTTTAAGTTCCACTACAGCAAAGCATTTGTCCCACGAATAGCACCACAGGGGCGCTGTTTAAAAAAACCCAACGCAAACCATCTTTATTTAACCACCACCACCACCGCATGAAGCCCTGCTTGAAAGGACAGTGAGCGCATGATTATTTAACACAAACCGACATTTTATAAAATACGCTGAAGCATCGGCCAACTTCAATTTGACGTGCGATGCATGAAGAAAAAATGTGAGAAAAAAAAATGCCCTGTAAGGCAATTAATTAATCTCAGTTGTGCAAACAACTGGAGTCCCATTAGTGTTAGTGCGCTGCGTGTGTGGAACCTAACGGTGCATTATATTCGTTCGTCCATTCGTTTCTCAAGCCGCTTGTCCTGGTGAGGGTCCCGGCAGCAGCGTGTTGAGTAGGGCGGTCCACACCTCCGTTTTCTGGCGACAGACTCTAGCTTTCCCTGGGGAATTCACAGGCCAAGCTGATGTACATATAATGTACATATTCGTTCATTGGTTTCTCAAGCCGCTTGTCCTGGTGACGGTCATGGCGGCAGCGTGTCAAGTTATTGGCGCGGTGGTTTGTGCACTGTGCTCCATAAACCTGGCTGCCTGAGTTTAAATCATGGCCATGGTGAACATCAACAGTGCTGTCTGAACTAGTCCTGGCCATGTCCCTTCACCAATCCTCAATGACCAATGTGGTGAAGTATGGTCAAACAACCCCCCATGACTGACATGTTATTGGATAAACAAAGGTCTGTAAATTATCTTTAATAGCCTAAAGATGCAAGTCATGTTGAGACACTATAAATCCAAAGTGTATTATATTGTATACATTTAAATAACAGGTTTTTTCTGCTATAGAGGTGAACTAGATCACTATTTGTTTATCAAAGTCAAATTAATGTGATTCCGAATACAATATATGAATGCTGATATTTAGTTGTAATCCCTCTCGTTGTTCTTTTGCAGAAGAAGGAATGGCTGTGCCTTACCTGCCAGACTCAGAGGGCCCTGTCGGGGCAGTTGGTGGACCTTGAGACACCAGACGTTCCAGCCAAACGGCCTCCTCCATCCACCAAGACCAGCCAGGAGCTTCCCCAGCAGAAGGGAGCCCCACCGGTAGCACAGAAGCCATCGGCCAAGCTCCGGGCAGAGCAGGTCCTGCCAAAACCTCAGCCAACTGAGAAGCCGCTGCTCACGGCGAGCTCCTCGGGACGCACAGATGAGGTGCAACCTTCGCCTCCGCAGGACCGTGTGAGCTCAGCGAAGGACGGTGAAGAGAAAGGGCGTCTCGGCGATACGGAGAGTCCACAGCGGGCAGCGGCAGAGGTCAAGCCGGCGCAATTAAAGCATCAACCCTCGCTCAAAGATGAAATGTTTGAGAGAGAGCATCACGCTTCTGATGAAGGACCCACGTTGAAAGACCAGCCGTCCACCGAAGCAAAAGCGGCGGAAGGACAACCGGTGGAACGCCCAGGGGCTGAGGTCGGCCGTGGGCCAGTGCTTGCTGAGGAAGCTCGTGCCGACCGCAAAGAGGCTCCTAGCCAAGGGCTGGAGCCTGACGTGCCCTGGCCGGAGACGGTGTCCAAGAGAGCCGAACCGTCCGACTATCTGCACTTTCAGCAGGCGCCAGAGGACACGGAGCTGAGAGAACCACTGATAGAGGTGAGCTAGTGAATTGTTGAGGCAAGATCTTGATTTGAAGCTTTCGTGACTGCAGGAATCCATACTCTTTGGTTCTTTCGGTAAAGTCACGCAGGTAGAAAATAAGGTTTGTCACCTAAACAAAACATGCCAAGTAGTTATTAGTTCAGCACACCGGTGTGTTGCAGAGTAAAACTATTGGCTGTGATAGGTGGTGGCGGGTTTAACGACACATTTATATTTACACGATCTAACTAAACAAAAACCTCATAAGCAAAATATTGGTCACGAAACCCTTCATGTTAAAAAATTTTTGATGTTTCACTAATTCGAATGTGCAACATTTCTTTTATACATGCGCAAGTTAACCAACAACAAAAACTCTCATCATATTTAGTCATGGATATAAGATAAAGGTGCAGCCCTGCAATTGCTTGCTTGTGCCACTGCTGGCATAAGGGGCCTCCATTAAGAGCGAACTCTAGAGAGGCCCTGTAGTGGATGTTCTCTTCCACACAGGCCACACCGATTTGTTACATGTGGTAAAGTCTCTTCTGAGTTGTGCCTTGGCGCACCAATACATTATCTTCATGTCTTTGTCTAATGATTATATTAATAATTTTGTAATTTTTTGTTTATAATTGCAAACGTTTGTTCCACACGTTTTCAAACAGGATTTACAAAGGTTAAACAACTCAACACTATTCATCAGTAACACATTTGGTGTTTTTAAGAAGGTTAGATAAGTAATGTGGTAAATTGTTGCGACACAGCTTTCAATTGTAATATTATTCAATAGCTTTTGTATTACAAATGGAGAGCATAGTAGGGATGTCTTGATAAAATCGCCTAATGTAAAATTAATTATAGTCATATGTGGAGAGAATACAATTATAGGTAATTGAAATGACCACAAATGCTTTCTGTTTAATCAATGTTTTGTACTCAAATATAGCACAGATTTAGAAGAATTCAAATTCAACATGGTACTTATGTGGTGTACAATCATGTCAGAATTTATATGTAATCAAATATATATAATATGACACGTCTGGAGATATTTAATGATAAAAACGTACAAATATTTACAGCTCAAAGAATGGAAATATGCAGTGTACAAATTACCTTTAACAAAACCGATCGTGCATAAAGTGGAAAACATTTAACCAGAGGTGATATTTGATTCCATTCCATGAATATGTATGATATACAGTATTTGACCGCAGCGCATTTGTATTTAAAATTTCAGTGTTTAGAGGCTCCGTGCATTTTTGACACTGGCCAGATGCATGCATCACTTTTGTTAACATTGCCATCATTAAACTTCATATAAGGCAAATAAGTTATTACTTTTTCGAAGAAAGAAATATGTTATTACAGTATTCCGATAAGCGTTTCGAGCCTTTCCATAAAATATCCCATTTTTAAATAGGGCTTGTAGTTACCATGAATCATATAACCGGGTCTTTCGACCCTCATTATGTTTTTATCAGAAACGAGTAATTTTTATTTGAGGGATTCCACTCGCGCATGTCTTTAACGTGTCTGACCCAATTTTCAATGCGGTGACTTGTCATGAGGGCAAACCCATCATGCTTAAACGTTTCACTCGCACATAGCCTTTTAGTGCAGACTCCTACGTAAGAATATTCCAGTGTTTTTGTGGAGATATTTTTGCTTTAGATTGGTTTTCCGAAATGTTTTTTTTTATCAGTCACAAAATTTACTTCTAATTATAAAAGATAAATGTCCAGCTCTATGCTTGCTCACGTCACTGCTGGTGGAAGATCCTTCACCTGAGACAGCTCATGAGAGCACTCCCTCTGAAGCGTTTTGGCCTACTCCTCCACCATTGGCCAGATGTCTTGTATGAGTAGCCACACTTTACCCCACCGCGTACGACCTGTTGGTTGACCGTCATGTACCCATTTATACGTCTGGGTGGACACAGGTGGGCGGACTTGAAAATCTTGCACAATCCTTTCGACTGCCGCGAAAGAATCAAACCGGAAACCTCTCGACTCTTAAGTCCACTCTGGTGACCAATTACACCATGGCAGCGTCCCATTGATATCTGTATCACACTTTAATCCTGCATCATATGAACAAAGGTTTACTAAATGAATCTTGAGTAACGTGTCTCCGACAAGGCCAACATTTCATAAGATATTGTCCATGTATAACAAAGTCCAAGATGGCTGCAAATAATCCACGGTGGCTGTCATGACATACTAAACATTGCATATTTTAGGTCATAATTGGTATAACATAAATCTGCTGTGGTAGAAATCAGAAATTTACAAAAGAGAATATAAACCTTTTTGATTTATCAAAAACTCAATATCATCTAGTTATAGTATTTTTTTTACGTTTTTTGCTATTGATTTCTATTCCTGCAGCTGGCAAAATATGAAACGCAACTTGATGTTGGTACCAACACTGCCATTCATCATATAAAAGCTTATGGCAGAATATAGTATCTATTACGAATATTATAACCAATTTCTTTCTAAATGTTTTTTTTTTTGTCTTGCAGAAAGCAATACTTAAAGACGAACCCGAGACTGTGGAGGAAAAGGCTTTCCTTGTCATTCCCTTAAAAGATGGAGAAGTGGCTGCAGATCGTGATGATAAGAAGGAAGAGAAGCCTATCTCTGCACAGGAAAGTCCCGCCAGCCCGTCGGAACTGGAGAAATTGGAAAGCACGGTCCGGTCGCTTTTGGAGGCCAACCCGATCGACTTGGAGGGTGAGGAGCAGGCGGGAAAGAAAGATCCTTACGGATTATTCGAAGAAAAGGATCGAGAGAAGAAGCAGCGGCCAAAGATGCTCACCGTCACGCCAGAGGCCTACAGCTCGGATGAGGAGGATCTGGAGGACATCCAGGAGGAGGACGAAGATGCGATCAATGAAGAGGGCGCAGCGAAGGTCGTTCCCGACGCGCGGCGTGGAGGTGGCATCGAGTCCCTGGACGAGGCGTCGGCCAAGCACCGGCGACGGGACTCCATGGAGGACAGCGGTGGCAGCACGCCGTCGCCCCTTCGGCACCGGAAGCAGCTCATCAGCCTGGGGTCGCCCAGCAGCGAGGAGGGGCAGAGGGATCGCAGCGACAGCCCCTGCTCGCTGGACGACGAGGAATTCATCCGACAGCAGATCATCGGGATGAGCGCGGATGAAGAGGCGTCGGGCTCCGACGGTGACGACGACGACGACGAGGAGGAGGACATGTTCAAGAGGCGGCTGAAAAAGGCCAAGACCAAGGAAGACCACCACCAGCAACGGCAGCAGCAGGAGCAGCAGCAACCGCAGGAGCAGCAGCAACCGGAGGAGCAGCAGCAACAGCAGCAGCAGCAGGAACAGCAGCAGGAACAGCAGCAGGAGCAGGACAAAGCACAGACAAAAGACAAAACCAAGCAGAAGCAGTTGCTTAGAAAAGAAAGTTCGAGCTATGAAGAAATTCATTACGAGGAACTGGAGGAGGAGGAGGCGTCGCGACGACATTCATGGCACGAGGATGACGAAATGTTTGACGACAGCCCCGAAAGCAAATTTAGAGAGTCAAAGAGTCAGGATAACGAGGAAGATGTCTCCATAGTGACGGGCGGTCTGCGGCGCTTTAAGACAATCGACCTGAAAAGTTCACTTCCTCATAAGTACGTCGCCGAGGAGCAGGGGGAGCAGGGGTACGAGAACAGCGTGTTTTACGACGAGCCTGAGCTCGAGATGGAGAGCCTCACGGACTCGCCCGAGGACAGGTCGCGAGGGGAGGGCTCGTCCAGCGCGCAGGCGGCCACCAACTTCACGCCGGGCACCTCTCCGAGCTCCGTCTCGTCCCTGGAAGACGACAGCGACAGCAGTCCCAGCCGGAGGCGGGCGCTCGACGACCCGAAGCAACACCGCAAGACTCGGCACAGGTCGAGCGGGCCGCTGCTGCCGACGATCGAGGACTCTTCGGAGGAGGAGGAGCTGAGGGAGGAGGAGGATCAACTGAGAGAGCAGGAGAAGCTGCGCGAGCTGGAGCTGCAGCAGAGGAAGAGTTCAGGCAGGAAGTCGAAGCGTGATAAGGAGGAGCTGCGCGCCCAGAGGAGGCACTCGAAGACATCGCCCAGTAACCTGTCTCCCATCGAAGACGCGTCCCCCACAGAGGAGCTCCGACAGGCAGCCGAAATGGAGGAGATGCATCGGTCTTCTTGCTCGGAGTATTCCCCGAGCCTCGAGTCGGATCCGGAAAGCTTTGAGGTCCAGGCGGCGAAAATAATGGAGCTTCAGCGGGAATATGATCTGCCGACCGGCGACGGGTTCACATTTCCTTCATATTCCAGACTGGCGCAATCCCAGGAAGAAGACAAAGACATTTTAGATGACGACATTTCAGTGGCTGAACATGAAGAGCTAAAGACAGCGGATGAGGTGTATGACGAAATGATGAGAAATGCCCAAATGCACGGGAGCCACGCGTCAGAACCTGCTTCAAAAGAGAGTCAAGATTTTGACGATGAACAATATAGTTTCTACAGGCACGAGGCCACTGTGTTTGATGACTTGCCATATGCAACCATACTAGAGTCCCAAACCGAACTTCTAACATTTACGACAGACGAGTCAGCCACTGCGTCCGCGTACGAGGATGTCATGTATATGGAACCGGTGGGCAGGTTGGACACAGAGCAACCGATGTACACTCCGGACGACATTTACGCTTTTGCCGAACCTCTGCCACCTCCGCCCACGGACATGTCCTTCTCTGGCTCGGAACAACTTCTGGACGCAGACGCAGCCTACGAGGAGCTCCTCCGAAAGCATAACGTAATCCTGACTCCGGGCACGAGCCCCACTCAGCATCTCTCGGACGCCTCCGTGGGCATCACGTATCCCGAGATCAGCAGCGACGATATCAGCAGCGACGACATATCCGTGTTTGCTGCAACTGCTGTGGAGACATCCACGGAGAGCGCCTTCACAGACATTGCGGCCGATTTCAGCTCGCTGGCAACCGGCGACTCCGACCCGTTGGCTTCGTACGACTTCAGTCCCATGTTGCCATCACCCCTGTTCTCAGTGCCGGATGTGACGATAACGCAGCATTTCACACCAGAAGATGATTCGGATCTGCCCAGTGATGGCGAGTTTGTGGACGATGAGTTGGTTCAACCTCCTGAAACGGTGGCGATCACCGACGGCGTAGTGATAACAGCGGCTGCCGAAGGGAACGTGACTGAAGACTCCTCGTCTCCCTTCGTGGAACCTGTGGAATTTGGAAGTGGATCCTTTGGGATGGATTCGTTTTTGGCAGGCGCTGTTCTTGCTTCGGTGGACGCAAACGGCACGTCGGTTTCGGCAGCACCCGCAGATGACGCTTCGATGGTTGACTTTGTCTTCGCTTCGTCACGAGATGACTTCATTTCGGAAATGATAGACGAAATTCCTGACGTCCCTATGAACGACGAATATTCAGAACTCGCTGAGCCATGCCGTCAGGAGGAGATAGCAATTAGTGCCGGAGAAAAAATAATAGAACTGCCCGAAATTGATTTATCCATCTCGTATGTAGACACAAAAACAAATGTACCCACCGATTCGCAAATATATGAGACTCCCACTGCGGAACCCGTGCTTGGAACAACAGCAGCCAGCGCTGTGCATGATGCGGTATTGGTGAAGCTTGCTGATGATGCTGCTCTCCCAGTGTATACCGATGTACAAGCAGCACATTCAAAAGACTCCTTCGTTTCTGAAGTTTCTCCGAATGAAGCTGCTGCTGCTGTTTCCGAACCAGTCGTGCTGTCACCTACCGTAGTGACAGCTTCAGCAGAGCCCAGTGCATCCCAGCAGGAGCCTGCTCTGCCACCGGTTACGAACGCACCTGACGATAAACACGACACGACCACAGGAATGACATACTTCACCTCGAAGGTGTTCTCCTACTTTAGAGGCACCACACAGGAACCAGACTATCAGATGCCACCTCCATCACCACCACCACCGCCACCGCCACCTCCGCCACCACCGCCACCACCACCACCACCACCACCGCCACGCAAACCTATGATGCTTTTGAAGAAAGAACTGACCAAAGTTCCTCCAGTTGAACCCACTGCACCAAGTGTGGTGACCACCACGGTTTCCGTATCGACAACTTCCACTGCCGCTTCGTCAGCACCGCTAATCACCTCTGACACCACGGTCACACAAACTGTAACGACAACTACAGCCTCGACACGCCCTCAAGTTGCACCAAAGCCAACACACTTCCCCGTGAGTCTCGTCACATCCAAACCTCTGCCACCTCCCGTGGCGCCGAAACCTACACCCTCGCCGCACACTGCAAAGCTGAGCAAAAGCTACGAGCATCAGTTGGAAACCCATCAAGTTGTGGTGACATCCGGACCTGGCAGCCGGTCATCATCGCCGGTTACCTCCCCTGTATCTCCCAGGTCGCCAAAGAGGTATTCTCTGGCTCAGGAGTCATATGTGGTCATCACTCTGCCCTCGGACGACAGCCCGACGGGCAAAGAAGTGTACACGTCTCCAGCGCTGCTGACGTCAACGACGTCGAGCAAAATGTCGAGGTCGCCGAGCGTTCCTGATGTGAAACTGACACAAGCGACACCCCCAGAGCTCATGCCAAAGTCACTGAGCATGGATTCGGCCATGCAAGAGGAGCTGGAGCCCGTGGCACCTGCGGAGCCGTTGATTTGCTTCGCACAAACAGCCACCACCACGACCGTCACCATAGCCCAGAACGTTGATTTTGCACCTCTCTCTGGCCCCTGTGGTGAACTCAAAGGACCTTATGTAACTTTAGAGACACGGTTACCCACTCCTGTGAGTGAAAGCGCTGCTATTGTCACATCAGGAGAAATAGCTGTCGTAAGCAGCAGCAGCAGCAACGTGATGGATCTGACCATGAAAAAAGAAATGTCTCCCCCCGCTATCGTAATGACCGACCATGGCCTAGATTTTACAGTAGCAGCATTGCAGAGCAGAATGCAGTCGGAGCAGAGTGGACAAATTGTCCAAAAGTTACAGACGGTCATACAGCCCGAAATTATGAACCTTGCGACAACGGATGCAACTGCCGCCCCTTTGGAGCAGTCGGAATCGAAGGCAAGGCAAAAGGAGCCTGCGAAAGACCTCACAGATGAGCCACTTGACCTGGCTCACCCAGTATTGGCTCTCCACCACTTTACGCCCATGGGGGACGCTGCTTACGCGGCCCACGAGGAGCCCATGTCCGAGGGCCCGGTTAACTTGACGATCTCGCAGCAGCCGGTGAAAATCGCGACGAAGACGACGGAGGATGCGCCCAAGACGCTCCCACCGGAGCCGTCGACCTGCGAGGCCGCGGTCGACCTTAGCAAGCCCAAGTCGTTCGGCGTCATCGTGTCCCTGGGCGACACGGAGTCGAGCCCCACGTCGGTTTTGGTGGACGAGTCGAGGCCCGTCGATCTGACGCAGGGGAGCCGCCGAGCGGTGTGCTGCGATGTCGTGTACAACATCCCCTTCGTGGGCATGTGTGCTCCGTCTCCGCCGAAGACGTCTCCTGACGTGGCCGTCGCGGGGCGGAGCCTGGTCGACGCCGGAGTCGTCGGCTACGGGGACGACGATTACGTCGACGTGAGGTCGCGAGCGTCCGCTGAGTACGGGCACGTGCGAGCGTCCACCTCCGACGCCGGCTTGACGGACACAGCGGGGGGCCCGCTGTCATACCGGAGCGAGGCCGCAATCGATCAGCACGTGCCGGCAGATATCGCCGCAGCCCTTTCCGCGCGAGAGATGACAAGTGAGTATCAATTGTATTGCGGGGATTTTACGTGAGATATGTTTTCTTTAAAAAATTAATAATCAATCAATGTACATATATTAATCCAAGTGTCCTAAGTGAATTTGACCGCTTGTTGAATGTTTACGCATTGGGGATGTTAATAAGCAAAACCCCGCTTTGAAACTCATGTTGAGCAATATGTATCAGGCACAATTGAGTATTGTGTAAAAATGCAACTTTGTTCACACTTGAATGAACCCATATTTAGCCACAAATTTCCCCGAGCTCTGTACCCAACACGGTATAATTATGCTACAATTTACGACGCACGCGCAAACAAACTGGTGAAAGTTTACACTTTTTAACGTGCGTAGACGTACAATACATTAAATCGACTTCGAAATCCGCTGTTTTCATGACCAATTAATGTTGGCAATGAATGACAACAATAACAACAATGTACATTTATAACAAAGGTTATGGTCGCGATATAGAGTGCATGCATACACACGAGGGATGGGGAGGTACCAAGCGAGGCAAGCAGAGAAAGGAGAGCAAGCAGGTGGCATTGAAATCTCTCAGATAAATGGAATAAAAACCAAAGAGATCACTGACTCCTCTGTTAAACCCCTCACCGGACTTATTAAACGTGCTCTTGAAAAGATCAGCAGCTTTGCTGTCACTTTTGACAGGATGTGTGAAGCCTCACCGGGGTGAGAACACTGCATTAAGTGTGATCCCTTGGCTTCATCACAACCGGAGATCATTCTGTGTGCTTTCGGTGAACATCCTCAGGCACTTAAATCATCAACCTCAGAATATTCGTTCGCAGCCATCAGAGAGTGAGTTGCAAGAAATTTTTACCATGGATTAGAAACACACTCGTTCGTGGGTAGGGTACTCTGATAATTGAATGGAATTTAGTCCATTTGGATGCCTCACCACTGTGGTTTTTATGTATTCTATCACAGCTGACCAAAGTGTTGATGTGAAATAACACCCGCGACTTCACAAGCTAGCCATCATGAACGGGAGACAAAGGGGGAGAGGTCAAACCACTGCGGAGATGGAGCGATGAGATCTGCTCGCTTGCGAGATGGATTGTAGCATCACGGGACCATGTGGGATGGTGATGACATGAGGAAGGTCTTCATGCAGCAGTGGATAGACCATAGCCAGTGATCAATTGGAATGAGCACAGATGCATTGGTGGCGATTAGTGCCACTGTTAACGTTTATATACAGTAGAACCCCTCTTAACGACGGTAATTGGTTCCACGAAACCAGTCAAGTGATTTCGTCGTTAAGCGAGTGGATGTTTCCACTTCAAAACGTAGCAGACACTGAATGTAAAAAATGTCCCAACGCTCATGAATGGACGTCGCCGATTGGCCGAGGCCTGGTCAGACCACTTTGGAGCTCGCCGATTGGCCGAAATTGGTGGTCACAAACTCGTCGTAAGCTCGTCGTTAACAGGGGAATGGTCGGTAAGCGATCACATTGGGCTCTATGGAGGCACTACACTACTATACACTACACTATACACTACTATATACTACTCTACTATACACTACACTACTATACACTACACTATAGACTACTATACACTACACATTGGGCTCTATGGAGGCACTACACTACTATACACTACACCAGCGGTCGGGCACCTATGGCTCGCGAGCCATATATGGCTCTTCTGGTGACGGCATATGGCTCCCAGACAATTTTGAGTTGATAAAAAAAATACAAAATCAGTTTGGAACTGATATTGCTTAATAATACTGTGTCATTTTAAAGTAAACAGAAATTAGTTTTGAAGATAAATTTCACGGGTCACGCCTGCATGAAGCTCAACCTCACCACGTACGAACCAGACTACAAGGCCATCAGCAAAACCATGCAGCACCAGAAGTCGCATTAAAAGTAATACATATTTAATTTATTATACGTTAAAAATACTATATGGCTCTCAATGCAATATATTTAGAAATATTTGGCTTTTATGGCTCTCCCAGTCAAAAAGGTTCCCGACCCCTGCACTACACTATACACTACACTATACACTACACTATACACTACTATACACTACACATTGGGCTCTATGGAGGCCCATCGTTAAGCGATGAGTCGTTAACATGGGATGGTCGTTAAGAGGGGTTCTACTGTACATTGAACTTCTTTCGCACTGTACATAGCCAACTGCGCTAATCAGAGGTCCGGGAGGGGGGGGGGACAACAAACGAAAAATTATCCCGAATTGTAGCTGCTCACCCCGAGCTATAAATGCCCTGATTGTGACATTGTCTTTGTGCTGTTCGCCTATTGGAGTTCTCTGGTCTAACACTGCTTGAGACTGGGCTCTAAAGAAAGCTGTCTCTTGTGTGGACCAATCAGTTTCAAAGACAATGCATATATTACCAGAAGCGTTTTTCTTGTTTGCATGTTCACCACAAGTACGTGCGGTTAATGCAGGCATGTCTCCCTGCAAAAGGTTTCTATTTGGTGTTTTAACATCTTAACACCTGTTTTGTTGCCAGAAAGGGCAACACCTATTCTCATAACGTAATTGCCGTTACATCTTTTGCCAGGCGGGGTGATGGAGCAGAGCAGCCTCTTCTCGTACGTGACAGCAGGGAGTCAAGAAGTGACTGCCAGCGCCTTGTCCTCCACCACTCAGCAAGTGTGGACTCAATATTCAAGCATGTGGAGGTCAACGGACGGAGTAATTTATTCCACAGTGCAAACTCCCATCCCGGCCACTCTACCTATTACCACCCAGCCGAGCTCTATACGCGACCAACTTCAGGGAGACGTTTACACATCGGGAGTGACTGCGGTGTTTACTGGCGGGTCGACCCTGCTGCCAATCCAGCAGATGATCGCGGAAGGCGCCAGCGCCGTCTCCATGCCCCCGGGTTCATCCTCCTCCGTCCTGACCTCAATCGCGGCCGAGCGGCAGTCTCTGCTGACGGACGGGACACTGGGCGGCCAGGCGATGTGGCAAGGGGACGAGGAGCGAGCGAAGCAGCAGCAGCAGGACAGACTGAAGCTGCAGCACGGCCACATGCTGGAGATGGACACGCTGAAGCAGCTGGAGGAGCTCGAACGCGAGCGCTTGGAGATGCAGAGGCGGAGCGAGGAGGAGCGGCGCCTCATGCAGCTGGAGCTCGAGGAGCTGCAGAGCATGCGGCAGCAGCTGTACCAGCAGCAGCAGCACGACGAGAGGCAGGCGCACTTCATCATGCAGCAGGAGCAGCTCGCGCAGCAGATACACCAGCTGCAGCAGCGGCTGCAGCAGCAGCTTGAGGAACAGCAGCACCAGCAGGGTCAGGGGTACAGCTACCCGTACGAAATCGCCGTCACGGAAGTTTCCTCTGCTGCCGATGGGCAGTTCTGGCAGGAGGGACTCGGCCAACAGTTTGTTTCGCAGGAGCCAATTCGGCTGCTCGGCCCAGAGGCTAAGAATCAGCAGGGCACCTTTAGGTTTGCACAGGAAGGTATGTCTACCCTCGACATGCATCGCACCATGGTGAGCTCGGTCTCTGACATGTCCCTCAAAGACATGGGCCTCAGAAAAGGAGACATCCTCCGCAAAGAGCAGTCCATGCCTCGCCTGCCCGCTCAGTACGAAAAGCAATCGCAAGACGGGAGGTACAGGCCTCAGAGGATCGTGGACAGCGGCGTGCAGACCGACGAAGAGGATGAAGAGGGCCAGTGGTACGGCGGCCGCCGAAAGAGAACCTCCAGGAGCGTGGACACCAGCGTCCAGACGGACGATGAGGACATGGACGATTGGGATTACTCGTCACGGAGGAGGCGCCCGAGGCTTCCGAAATATGAAGGAGGCGTCGAGGCTGAACATTTCAAAAAGAAAACCAAGCACATGGCCAGCATCGGCATTCAGATGACCTCCAATTGCTCCGTTCAGACCGAGATCGACGACACGGTCATCACCCCATCGCAGAGGTCCCGTTCGGCCTCGGGCTACCCGACCATGTCCGACATTTCGGCCACCGAAGAAACATTCCACGGGGAGAGCCTCGCCTGCCAGACGGACACGGAGTGTGACCAGCGGCAGCACGAAGCGGACCCCCAGCCAACGGGCGGCCTGAAGCCCTTAGGCTACTCGTCCCACCTGCAGACGGGAACGGCCACTCCGATGTCGCGCTCGCCGCCTAAATCTCCGCAGGTGCTGCACTCGCCCATCTCGCCGCTCACGTCGGGGAAGATGCTGGACTCTCCGGTGTCCCCCTACGATCGCTCGGCCAAAGCGTCCGGCTCCGTGACTCCGCCGCCGCAGCACCTACAGAGCCTGCGCATGACCAAGCCCATGCAGCGCTCAATGTCAGATCCCAAGCCTCTGAGTCCCACGGGCGAGGATGGGAAAACGTCCTACCAGCTGTTTCAGCAGCAGCAGAGCTGCCTGGTAAGTTTGTTATTTATCTGCATGGCTTTTTTTTTACTATGAAATATTGTTGTTGTTGTTTGTTCGTGGTGGTGGTGGTGGTGCAAATTATTTGGTGGAATTAATCCACGAGTTGCATGGAACTTTAGTGTTAGTGAAAAAAGCAGGGCATCTTGCGTCAATGTTTATTTTTATAAGCACTCCATATGTGAAGTTAGTTTAGTTTAATTTACTTTTCCAGGTGAGAACTCAAGAGACCAGGATTAACCTAGCTTGCCGGAGTGAAAGCAATATTGCAATAATGAATGAAACTAAATGTTCAAAGTTCATTTATTAGGTATAGCCCTGTGAGCAATTCGGCTCTTGAATCGGGTGCAACCGCAACAAACATAAACAAAAACATGAACAAGAAAACATCTTAAAGTGACTATGTGCAAACAGAAAATCCAAGAAAAGACAGCAAAATATTGCAGAAAAATCACCGTACAACAACGCTGTGTGCAAATATCCCAGTGGGATGCAAGTCAAATGTGTCAAGGACAACAAGGCTAAAATCGAACAATCACGTTCAAGGAGAAAGCAACAAAGAAACTGCATGTACATATATCACCGTTCATTTAAATAAACGTTCCTGTTAACACTTAGCAGTGTGCCAGCATATGCGTACATTATGTGGCATAATAAAGCCATTGCAGAGTATGGTACATTTATTTATCGGACATTGTTTCTAACAATCAGAAACTCTTGTGCGGTGACGAAAAAACACAGGAGCACGCGATAATCTCCTTGGCTTTTTCAACACTGCTCTTGTCGCTAACATCCATGCATGTCATTCCATGGGCGCGATCAGAAAAGTTCATCCAGATAGCAAAGAATTTCCCGCGCGATGTGAAATGTCAGTCCAACAGAGCACGCAGATTCTGCCACGAGTTTCTCACCAGCATGACTTCTGCAGCTTGGGTCCATTGATTATTTTCATTATTATTTTATTACACACCATTGTGACTACATTTCTTTAATCTTAATTTTGGAGCTTTCGTGACTGCAGGAATTATTCTTTGGTTCTTTCGGTAAAGTCACGTACAAAGATAAAATAATAAATTAAATAATAGCATACTACGATGTTTCGATTGCAACACAAGCAATCATCATCAGGTATAAAAGCAATAGCAACAAAAATCTAACCATAAAACTATAGACAGACATATAAGCAGACAGACATCATAAAGATACACAGAGAAAGAACACGTATTGGCACAAAGAGAGAGGTCGTCTCTGTGACGGGGCCTTAAATATAGAGAGGGGGCGGGGGCGGAGAGAGGGAGGGGGCAGAGAAAAAATTAGCATGTCAATGAGTGGACAACGACGTGGTACGGTACGCAAGCTTGAAAATTAGGAGAAAGACACACTAAAATTAAATAACCTAGTAAAATATCGAAATGTAATGTAATGCAACACAGACAGTCGGTCAACACACAATTAACGCATAGCCCGGTTGATTACGTATTTCAAAGATTGCTAAGTTAGAATTTAAGTGTGAAAATTCCAAAGAGAGGACACAGGCAGAGAGAGAAAACAAAAAAACCAGAGAGAGAGAAAAAAGATAAGCTTAAATTTATTTACCCCGGGAAGTCTCATTGAGTCTGTCTTTCAGGAGGGTCATACAAAGTTTTCGCAGTAGCAGGCAATGATTGCTCTGTACGTTTTTCAACTGAGTAATCCGCGGGTCATTTCTTTATTTATTCGTCAATATTTGGACCATGAGGCCGGCACATAAGCGGCCTTCTCTTGCGAATGACATCACGGGATCGTTAACGTCCACTTCGAAGCAGACGATGCGTCGTATTCCTTTGTGGTTAATACTCTCGCAGTATTAACCAGAGCGGCCTCCCGAATTCGAATTGTGATCCCTCTGCAAAAAGCGGCGAACGCGCCACCGCTGGGCCGTGCCAGCGCCCATGATTTTCATCCACGCGTAGTCATCTGTGACATTAGCGCTGTGGCTATTCCAATAAAGAATTCTGCCCGTTACTTAAATACTCGAGAGATTTCTACAGGGTATAAGAGCCATTGAATTGGTCTTTTTTTTTACGAGTTTCTAACAAGTGCTTGTTTACATCTTTTGTCAAAAAAAATAGGTCACGTGTTAAATTTCGATTTAAAGCTTTCGTGACTGCAGGGATTCATCTTCTTGGTTCTTTCGGTAAAGTCACGTAGAAGGGAAATAATAAAATAATAGAAATAAAACATAATAAAATAATTCTCACGACGTTTCGGCCACAACGCAAGCAGCCGTCCTCAGGTGAAGACCAGATCTGTCGGGGAGACAGCGTCTGAATGATTGATTCATGATTAATTAATGATTCATGATTAATGAATGAGTCATTCAGACGCTGTCGCCTCGACAGACCTGTTCTTCACCTGAGGACGGCTGCTTGCGTTGTGGCCGAAACGTCGTGAGAATTATTTTATTATGTTTTATTTCTATTATTTTATTATTTCCCTTCTACGTGACTTTACCGAAAGAACCAAGAAGATGAAAGGTCACGTGTTATTATTGTGATTTCTATTTAAAATGAAAGACGTTTGTTTATAGGCTTGGGTGATGAAGCCAGTGAGCCCGGAGGACTCTGAAACTCAGCACAGAGATCCTGTATCTAATCCTGCGGCTGATCTACACGGCTTTCAATGGGTTAGCCCCACCAATATCTGCAGGGACGATCTCTGTTTACGCTCCAACGAGCTCCCCGAAACCTTTGGATCGCCTTCCTCTAAGGAATCTGAGGTGAAGGCTAATTTCCCGGGGTGAGCGGCTTTTGCCAGTGCAGCTCCCAGACTAGGGAATGCATTTCCTAAGGTAATAAGAATGATCAGAGTCAGTAAAGCCTTTTAAGTCTGTCTTGAATACTAACCGCTTTAAATTGGCCTTTACTGCCGAGTCCTAGCCTTTTACCCTGATTTTGTTTATTTCCTGCTTTCCATAGACAGCGCATTGGGATGCAGCTGCATTACAGATGTAATTAATTATTATTAAACATTCTTGCTATGCTGCTGCCTTCAAAGGAATCATGTTAGTTAGCAGGCAGATGTTTTATGGATATCACGGCCCTTGATAGAACCGGTGATTCACGACTCATTTATGCATGATCTGTGAGTCAGCCTGCAAGTTGCTGGATTGCAGGCAAGGACTACGAGGACAAGGATCGTGCAGCCTGCGCTCAATAATATATGAATACTGTGTTTGTTGTGTTGAATATGTTGAGTGTTAAGGTAAACTACAGCATTCGGTCTTCCATTTGCAAATCTGCAACGGCGCTTCTTGGAGTTTTGAGGCCGTGGTCCGAGATGGGTGTTAAAGCCCTGGGTTAGTGTTTGATGAGGGCCGAATGCTGTGTAGCAAAAGTATAAAGGGTTATAAGGGGATAGTCAAGTGATGCTAGCTGATGATAACTAGTGTGTCATTTTCATCGGTGTTTTTCATGCCAGTTAAATTCAGTAAAGTCACGTAGAAGGGAAATAATAAAATAATAAAAATAAAACATAATAAAATAATTCTCACGACGTTTCGGCCACAACGCAAGCAGCCGTCCTCAGGTGAAGAACAGGTCTGTCGGAAAGACAGCGTCTGAATGACGCTGTCTTTCCGACAGACCTGTCGTGAGAATTATTATGTTTAATTTTTATTATTTTATTATTTCATTATTTCCCTTCTACGTGACTTTACCGAAAAAACCAAGAAGATGAATCCCTGCAATCACGATAGCTTTAAATCGAAAGTTAAATTCAGTTTAACACGTAGGCTTTCGCGACCAGTATTATTCATAATGAAGGTTTGTTTTGGGTTAGATCGCGTTATTATAAATGTGTCGCAACCCTCCACCACCCGACACGGCCAATCAATTAAATTCAGCCAGCAGTTATATTTTTTACTACAGTTTCCTTCCATTTCGATTTAAATCTTTCGTGACGGCAGGGATTCATCTTCTTGGTTCTTTCGGTAAAGTCACGTAGAAGGGAAGTAATAAAATAATAAAAATAAAACATAATTATTATTTTATTATGTTTAATAAAACATAATTATTATTTTATTATGTTTTATTTGTATTATTTTATTACTTCCCTTCTACGTGACTTTACCGAAAGAACCAAGAAGATGAGTTTCCTTCCATTCACCATCAACAGCAGCAGCAGCCATGATCTTGGCTGCTGATGTAGATCATACATCGAGCTTTTTCTGTGCAGCTCCAGGACCATTGCCTCTGACAATTAGACAATCAAAATCTTTAGAGCTATTTAAAGCTGCCCTGAAAACTCACCTCTTTAAATTGTCCTTTTCCAAATAGTTGTGGTCGTTTACGCTGCTGGCTCTGTCTTATTTCCTGCTTTCCATACACGGTGGCGCATTGGGATCCTTGGATGAAATGCCCCTTACAAAATGTAAATTATTATATTATATCCACTGTCAGATGAAGGCCCTCCCCACACCATCGCCAACCCCTCACGGTGCTACAACACCTTCACCCATCTCACCTCTTCTGCCTTTGAGTCCGGTCTCCATATTCATGGTGACCGTTCTCATGGTCAGAGCTCACTCACTTCCTTGCCGGTCGATACGATGCTTCTAATTTCCATTTGTTCCCTTGTCCACGTGTTTCTTTTCTGTCTCTCTGTGTGAGTCTGAGCAGGCGTCTCTCGTTGCTTCTTTGTGCAATGTGTACAGGTTTGAGCATTTCTTCTGTAGGCACATTGGCATGTTTCCTTTTCATTATCAAGGGGACAAAATGAAAGGATTCTCGGCACACGGTATGAACGTGGCGAGAAACCAGTTCATAATTTAGTCAGCATTGTATATTCTGGTCACAGTCTTCGTATAGGCGAGGACAATTTGGGGGATTTGAGTCCAGTCATAGTCTGTGGATGTCACATAGTCGTTCTCTTACGCGCGTGTAGCAGCCATAAATCGTGATCCACTCTTCGTCGTGAAATGTTGGTCGGAGTGAGGAGGCGTGCAATTTTGTCTA